GGGGGGCGGGGGGGGGGCAGGGGGTAGTGGGAATTTTCCCGTCGGTATAACTGTCTTTGCCCGGATTTAGTCTGGGATACAAACCCCCTGGTATAGGTTAGGTAAATACTTTATCAGTTGGTTATCCTGAGCTCCCCGCAGAATTTAAGGCTAGAGCAAATATATTCACACAGATTCTGACCGGCTGATGGGATCCCCCCTAAAACTAGGCAAGCTTTTGGGGAAGAATAATTTAAAGCCCTGTTCCCTTTTTCATCTTTATATGATGCTCGCAGAGAGAAAGCTGTTGTGCATCTACTGCAAGGACTGTGCGCTTAATATTTTTTGCTATGCGATACAAAGGATTATCTCTGTGTCTTCATAAAGCTGTAAGAAAGAATTCATTACTAAACCTGGAGTGTACAAATGAAAGTCTGCATTAGTATGTAGTTAGTGAGAAGAAGGAATGAGGGAAAGGCAGGTTCAAAGAGAAACCACGTAATATGAGTGGAAAACAAATAAAAAAAATAAGTGAACAAGACTGGAGTTTGCTCCCTTCCCTGGGGGAGGGGGATGCTAGCAGTCAGTTTGGAGGAGATGAAGCCGCTTAAACTGCAATTTCCTTAACTAACCCACATTAAAGTGGTAGATGGTATCTGAAATACTGAAGCAGACAAGGGGAGATCTTTATTCTTAAAACAAAAATTAACTATTTCATTCATTGTTATTATCTTTGTTCCGTTACCTCAAGTTACGCTTCAAGAAAGATTAAAATACCATTTTAGCAGTGATAAAGCTGACTCAGCCTTTTAGCCATCAATCCTTTTGAATGTGATCTTTCGAACTAAAATACTAGGACACCCTCAGAATAGTCCAGGTTTTCAGGCTCTAGGATAACCAAGGGTTGAACAGAGCTGTTGGAGAGCTGAAGTCATAGGCTGTCAGTAGAAGAGAAAATGCACAGACTAGCATTAAGCGGAAGGCTTTCAGGAATATGTGTAGCAGAGGGAACATGAGGGGCCCAAGCAGGATACCTCTGTGCCAAGGAGTGGCTCTATTCCAACTTGTGTGCTGCTTGCTATTTTCTGGAAACAGCCAGGATATGATTTTGCTGCCAGCAAAGCAGGAATTGGAGTTTCTGATGAAGCCTCTGTGTGCGTGTGTGTGGTGTTTCCACGCAAGCTCTCGGTCTCAGGCTGTGCCTCACAGCAATTGGGAGTGGGGAAAACACCTTAGCAGCATCTTAGGGTGAGATCCGGTGACCTTTCATGTAGACTGGACACATGAAATATGTGTGGGACATGGCATATTGTATTCTCATCCACTAGTTGATATTCAAAGTTGACTATTAAAAAGTACAAGGTGGGCAACTGGTATTAGAGGGTAATTTTTCTCTTTCTTTGGAAAAGCCCTTATATGATATGTCGACGCTGAGAAGTAATAATAAAATGGTCCCAATTAAGTTAAGAAGAATACTTGTTAAATGCAAAATTGAAATGAAACTTTGCACATCCCCCTCCAGTTATATATAGGACGTGGTTTCAGGCCATGGAGAAAAAATCACCAGGATGACAAGTGCTTGAAACTGCTTATAATAATAAGCTTGCATTTAAGTTACTTCACTTTGTCTGCTAAGTGCCATGAAATTAACTTGTAAAAAGTGAATTCCCAAATTGCTCCTGTTCATGTCTATTCAGAAACAAAAGTCTGTACAGAAGAAAAGGTGGAGGAAAGTGGGGAAATTAGAGGCTGAACTATAGCTAGTGCCTGAAAAAGAAAATGCTGCCTCCAGTCAGCAGAATGTCCTTGGCGCCTTTAAAGCTGGCAAGAATAATATTGGTTCTGGTAAAACCCATTAAAAAAATCAAATTCAAAATAATAAAATCTGAAGATATATTGTCGCTAGTAACAGTCCCTCATCATTTTGTGTGAAAGGAGAGCAGAGTTACTAGAATGCTTGACTTGCAAAATTGTATGCTTTGACTGCCTGAGCCAAATCCATCACGGCTTTCTTTCCTTCCTTTTCCAATCTTCATCCTGAATTAAAAAAAAAAAAAATCTATAGTGTTGTAAGACCTCTCAATCTTTTGCTGATAGAGTATACTTAGCAGTTCTTCTGAAAATTTTATTTTCTTTCACGATCTGATATTTCTTTTTAAAAACACCAAATTAGTCTATGAAACTGGAGGTGGATGCTTAGCAAAATGCTTGTTTTGCCCACTGCCCTGCCACTGGTGGGAGCGCTAGAAGGGTAATTTGAATGATGGACAATCTGTTTAGAGATGAGCTCTCCATTTGCTGCACAGGAGAAATCTCCCAACTCTCTATCTTTCAGGCTGATGGACTAATCTTTACAGCCCAGTGGGGCGATTCAGAGATGCCTGGCTTCAACGTGGTCAGTAGCCATCCTTATCTCCAGCCAAGTGTTTGGTGGCTGAGTCCGTGTAAGAGGATAACTACGCAGTAAGATTTCTGTTGGTCTGGATGATGGGGGTTGCTGCGTTCCTCATAACGCGTGCGTGGAGAGAAGGAAGTCCTTTTAACTACTGTATTAGAAGGCTTTCTTGGAAGAGCTTGGTTTGCACAAGCCCCGACATGTTCTCTTGATGCATAGCTTGATGAGGGGCTGTGGTGAGACAATGGATAAGGAACATATGGGAGGATACTGTGTTTGGGCAGGGGCAATAAAAGGACAGCAAATACTGTGGTGCAGAGGCAGAGGAGGAGGAAATATATTGTTGAAAAGAAAGTGGGGGAAGCAGAGATGAACGTGCCACTAGCTTAGGTCTTAATCTTCATGTGGTACAGCGTCTGACCTGCTCAGCTCTCCAGGCGTGCTGGCAAGCCCGGCTCGCAACACACGGCCGCCCCTGCGGGGGGTGGCTCGGCTCAGCGCTGGTGTTGCCAAGCCCAGTGCCTGGCCTGCCCACGTAGGGATGCTCTGCGCTCCTCACGGCTAGTGATTACCAGGTGCTCCAGCTGGCTCTGGCACGCTCGCTGCATCGCTGGCACTGTGCTGCGCTGAGGTAACTGAGCTGCTTTGGGACCTGGGGACAGCATGAGCATGGCCGCATCTGACTTCATAGACTTTGTTGGGTCCGATGTTAGTCTACCGCACTGCCACAGCGAACTCTCTCCCGTTGGTGTAGTCTGCCCACGAGCGTATGCTGACTAACGGCACGTTAGCGTTTTCAGGGAAGAGAGAAAGCTGTGCTGCGAGCCAAGTTTGGGCTGAGAGCTATCCCTTGGCTCCCTGATTTGATCCATCACTGTGACAATTTCCTTGGAGCTTTAGGGGGTGGTTAAGATCGTCTTCCAGCACCGATGCGTTTACTGCACCAAGTGGGGTGCTGGTTGAAGCACCTGCTGTTCTTTTCACTGTGCTATTGCATGTTGAGCCCAAACCAAGCTGCTGAATCCAAGCCCCATCTTAGCTCTTGGAAATTCAGTTCTGACATTCAGTTTTACTCTTTGGACCAAATTTTAACTTCAGGTATTTCTCTACAAGCTTGTGGGTACCAGAAAATTGAGACTTGGGTGCCAACGGCAGAACTGCAGGTCTGTTGCTTCCCTGCTTGTTTCTGACTCATACCTTCTCCTGGGCCTCTCTCTGCTGCTGTTTTCCTTCTCGCTCCTTCCCCATGCCAGTTCACTTCTACAGGATTTAACTCTTTGTTTTATCCTGAGGCCTCACTATGGCAAAAATGTTGGCCATTTTAATGAAAGCTTTCGCTAACCAGAGGGACCAGATACAGAAGTGAGTTACCCTGGCTTAATAAGCTTCCAGACATCAGCTGAACTGTGGTAATTAAGTGTCCTCCTAGCCTGTGGCAAACACCGGACAAAATCCATGAACAGAGACTTTTGATGGTAAACATTTTCTGCTAATGCAGTTTATTTTCTGCCTCTTGTGTCAAGAGCACACAGGCAGCTAAGATGAATCAGACAGTGTATAATGTTAAGCCCCAGTAATTCAGTTTTGTTTCTGAGCTGTAAACTGGTAAGATGCTGCTGCTGATAAAGATGGAAAGCCAGAGCCCCAAAGCCACATGCAAGGTTTGTACACCCTCCCAGAGCTCTGCTTATGGCACCACTGGGGCACAAAAGCATATTGCTCGACTGAGGTCTAGAACTGTGGCTGTCAGTTATCCTTAGCATCTGGCTGTGTGTGCATTGCGAAATAGGGATACCTACAGGACAGTTGTTGTCTGCTCGCTGGGATTTGGCATCTTGTAGCCCTCTGATTTGGCAGCTTCCGTGGTGCTTAGCAGCATATGGCTGCTCCATCAGGCATGGGACCCTTGGTGAAAAGAATACTTTCTGGTGGCGTGGACTTGGCTGCTCTTAAAACAGTTCCTGATAACTGAATGCAAAGTTCAGCTTAGCGTATCTTTGAAGGAGTTTCGACAATTGTCTTTGGCAGTTTGGTCCCTTTTCTGTTTTAAATTCAGTCTTAACATATTATGTAATGCAGTATTTCACCTATATCTTCCCTTGAGTCCTTCCTCCAGACGGAACCCGCCCAGGTCTTTTTAGTCATTTGTGTTGCTCTCCCACTACATGCTCCTTGGTTTCTGTCTCTTACAGAGAGCACATTGCCCAGCAGAGTGAAATATTTAGCTTTCAGCTATGTGGCATTCACGTACCAATGCACCCACAGTATAAAACACAGTGGAACTGGAAATAGTTTATAACAGCCGTTACTTTTGTAACTCTTTAAACTATTTCACACTTCATTTGGAAAGCTCCCCAGTGGTGGATGGCTGGAGCAGGCTTGAGAAAAAACGGGAGGGCACAGCTCTGCAAGAAACATTATTGGTGAACGGCAGCTCTCATGTGTTTTTTCATGTTTAGAAATAAACTATTTTATACAAACCTGAAAGAAAGTAGGACAAAGGTTTCTGTGGTCTGTACCCTGAAAGCATTGAAAAAGGGTCCTTGAGTGGTGCTAGTTAGATGGGTAGAGTTACACACAGGATTCAGAATTTAAGGTGCAGACACAGTGTTCTCTGTGTTGCTGGTCACTCAAACTGTAAACTATCTTTGCAGATTTTCTATGACTGTATTGCATGTATCTCCTGATTGAAATGTTTCTATATCTATCTATTTATATATAGTTATAGAGGTGTTTATCTTCCCACTACTGTGGTATTTGATGTCTATCTGAAAAATCGTATGAGGTTGCTTTTTGGTTTTACTTCAGTACAGATACTTTCTCTTACGGGGTTTTAACTTTCTTGCTCTCATTAATATCTGTTCAGTCTGTGTAATTAGTCAATACATTCCCATCTTCTGTGGAGAAAATAAACCAAAAAAAGTCTCATCAAGATTAATACGATCTATAAAGTTAGAAGACAATTTGTTTCTCTTTTTTGAAGAGCTGTAACCTGGGTAAGATGTTCTGCCCCCCTCCCCCAGTGACTTCTGTATTTTTAGTTATAAAACAACCCTACCTCAAAGATAGGCTTATAAGAATCATTATTAGGGAACCTGAAAAGTTAAATTCTTTATCATCTTTTCTGGTTGTGGATTTTGAAGTACTTCGTATATTGGTATAAAGTACAAAAGGTCTGCACATCACTGATAGCTTCAAATCTTCACATTTCCTTAATTGCTACCCAGGTAAGTAGGATAATTTGCTCCAGACTTATGGCTACTGTGGCAACTCAGGAACTGACTGGAATATTAAATTGACAGGCTGTAGTGGGTTTTATAGGCTTTATTGGATCAGAGGTTTTGTCTGAACAAAGAAATGACATGCAATATCCTGCAAACTGGCTAAAACACAAGGTGAAAGCTGGTGGTGGGTTTTTGCATTAACTTTCTTCCCTTCAAAAAAAAATCAAGAAAATGAGGGATGCTAGGTGTGGATTTTAATTTTAGCATTAGAACTGGTAGGACAGATGGTGTCTCTCAGGCAACAGCTCATCTGGCTCCTCTCCTGCTGTAGGCTAGAAAAGCAAGGACCGGTTCATACCCTGACTTTCACCCACCCCACAAGAAGTTTACCATGTGCTCGCTCTTCCTTCCCCCTGATCCCAGTACCCAAAGCTACACTCTTACATATCTATCTTTCCAGAGACCAAGGTGAACACTATAAAATTAGATAAACTCACTAATGCTCTTTTTTCCTTTTTTTTTTTTTTTTTTTTTGTTAACTTGGACTAAACCGAAGTATAAGCATTAGGTAAAAGACAACGCAAAGTTGGTATCCTGTTCTCCCTTTCCCTCCCCAATGGAGACTTGACATCCTCATTTTATTTTAACTTTGCCTTTATATCAATAACATGGAAACCAAATTGACCTTTAAGTAAGCACTCTCTTAAGCGTGACGACTCTTACGCTGCTCTTTGGAAAACATAGCGGAGCTTTCCCTGGCGGTAAGTGTACTGTCACCTCTGCCCCTTTCGTAAACTGATTGATCTTTGCTGTGTTTCACGTGCCATTCTTCTGAGCTCCTGGATAATGACCACGCTCAGATGTCGGAAGAGTGGCCCCCACTCTGAGCCTTCCAGCCAAAAAGCAGAAGCAGATAAAGGAAATGATTCATGGCATAAGGGCTAGATTTGATATCGTGGTTTCTCATACATGTGCAGACATGCCGACGTCCATGCTTTCTTTTTAATTTGATTCCTAATTTTAAAAAAACAACCAGCCAAACACTGTTTGAAGTCATTAAAGTACATCTGATGATATAAAAACTCTTCTGCCCTCTAGTGTTGTGAAGCAGTGGGACGTCTGAGATGCACTGATGGTTTTTTGGGGGGAAAATATGTAGCCTTGCTACTTGCAATTCCAGTCATTTTTTTCACTGATGAAGGGAGGGGAGTGTAAAAGGTACTTAATAATTTTTATGTATGAACTTGAGAGAAATATGATCTTAATATCTGAAACAGCCAAGAAAAACTACTAAAAAAAATCTTGAAACTGATAAAATGTACAGCAGCTTGTCAAAAGCAGTTTGGGATAAATTGTAAATGCTACTACTCCATCAAATAAAGAAAAATCTGAAAAACCATCACTGATGGGGAATGTTATGCCATAAGCAGGATGGGTTGTCAAAACTTCTTTTAAGTAACTGTTGCAATTGTGCCGCAAATGCCGGAGGGGCATCGCTGCTCTCTTAGCTCCTGCCTTTTGAGGGTCTGGGATTCGGTGGAGAGGTGAAGAACAGCCTCACGGGCACCAGAGTATGCTGGCAGGAAGGGAAAAGATCATATTAAATGGCACCATTAGAGCTCGCAGCTCTATCTTTACTAGTTTAATCTCATAAATTAATCCACATCCTCCTAGAATAAGTCTTCAAAGAGGAAGAGGTAATTGGATATAAATACTTTCCTTCCCAAATCCTGAATTACAGTGATACGGCAGCAGGGAGCTTTTTGCACTTTGATCTCTTTGCATGATTTTCATTCCCCTTTTCAGCCTTAGTCTCGGGCCTCATTCTCTCATTACTTTTCCACAGCGAACTGTGCTCTCTCTGCTTCCTAGCTTGTCCTCTGGCCACCTCCTGTGGCCCCTTTTTCTTTTAAGAGACTCAGCCTTCACCCCTCATTATTCTTTGTTTTCTGTTTTTCTCCTTGGGCCTTCCCCGCGATGAAGTCAGATGAAATATTTGTGCCCATGCGTGCAACGAAAACCCTGCCGAATGCTGCAGAGAGATGTGAGCTTGCTCTGATACGTGAGGCCAGCTGCTGCTTAGTGCATTCCTGGTAACCTGCACCCCTGTGGTTTAACTTCTGCTGAGCAGGAGCAGTGTAAACTCGTACCCACACAACACACCGTGTAGATAAACCCCTTTGTTTTCTCCAAATGGAACTGACATGTTTTCATCACTCTCTTGATCACCTCGAGTCTCTAATACACTCTGAACCCTGTGCTGCCTCTTTGCTGTCATGTTAGATTGATAGCTCCTTGAGACAGCAACTATATTTTGAATTAAGTCTAGCAAAACACGGCCTTTGTCCTCATTCAATGAGTCGCACCTAGGCATGACAGCAAGATAAATATGCCTAAGGAATTCCCGGTGCCTGACAAACACAAGGCTGACAAGGAAACTGAGGCTCAGGCTGAGAGCGAGTTACCTGGGTCCATCACAAACAGTATGATTTTGCACGCTCCTTGGACAACTTTTGGGCAGACTGTCTAAATCTGCGAGGTGCTTGGTGCCCTCGAGGTATGGGGTAGGACTGCCAGCCCCAGCACTCTCCCAGTAGACAATGGTCTTCCTTCTTCAGCAGCAGAAAACTGACCTTACTGATGAAGGAAACCCTTCCAGTCCTGTTTTTCTGTAGAGAGGAAAAATAAGAGTGTTCTCTTTCATTTTAGTGTTGGCCCGTATGTCTTGATAACTCCAAACGAAACCAGAAGAAACCAGATGCAGCAAAGTAAGTTGAGTTGGCCAATATGGTAATACATTATTTCTACTTGAATAAGTTTAGGGGTTTGTGCGCTTTATCACTCTTGCAACTTTTATCCTGATTTTCACAATGCTTTTGTGCAGCTGTGACAGTAAAGTCAGTGCTATGAGCATTCTCCATCATCGTATAGGCTTTTGTTATTATTAACTTCTCATCTGGCTAAACTTCATGCAGAATGAGTCTTGTTCAGGAAAAGGGTTTTGGTAATTTCAGTGCTGGAGCTATTCTAGCTGGCTTCTACAAGACTCAGCTGGAATTAGCTCTATCTCGCTTTTACAGGATTGAATTCAGATTGGAGAACCCAACTTTGAATGCTCTCTGGGTTAGGGGGAGGAAGAAGAAAAATATAAGTAAGAAATATTTTTGGAAGTACTCTCATGTGGAGACTAAAGCAACTAGAACCATTGTTGGTTCTTGAATCTCCGTTGAAGGATTGTAGGTGGATCTTTTAATGAAGATGGGAAAGATAATTTTAGATGGAAAATATCTTTGCTTTTGCTTGGCTTCAAGTCTTGCTGGTGAAAGTATTTAAGCAGGAACACCCTGAACCTCTACCAGAAATATTAGGCATGTGTTAAAAAGCTTTCATTGCCAAAAGTTGCAACAAAAGAGCCATGAAATGAATTCTGTATGCAGATGTGACCAAGCACTGCAGTCCTGCACTCCTGGCTGTTTATTTGTGCAAAAGATATGAAAGCTGAAGGAGTGTCAGTCACCACTCACGTTTTGAGCCCTCAAGGAAACAGTGCAATAAAAACATTTCTTCTCAAACATTGTGAATTTGGCTGAAATGCTTCACCAGCAGGCTGCTGTAGGGTTGGGTTACCGCTGGTTGCGAGAAAGAAAATGGACTTCTGAACCAAACCGTAATCTTCTGGAGGGAGGAATAAAAGCAGATCATCTTAGAGCTGACTCTGACGCTAACAACAAAGGTGCTGCTGCTCTAATAAAGATCTGCTTTCACTTTGTGCCACCAGCATGCAAAGGCTGAAGCATGCAAGTACTTCTGCCTTGGATACTGGCAGAAATACTCACTGAATCCAGTCCCTACATAAGTGCTTGTTGTAAAGGTGAAATAACAAGCTGGTATCTCTCTTGGGCCTCTTTAGAGACTTGCCCAGGAACTGGCTTTATCTTGTTAGAGGGGAGCTGGTGTTAGCATCTGTTAGCCATAGCCTACCATTAGAAAATACGGTTCGTGTTGGTTTTAGTTAAGAGTGAATTGAGCTCTTAGAGCAACTGAGGTACTACTCTAAAACACAGCTCCTCTTTCCATAGGCTTTGTGCACCTTGCTATTGAAAGGAATTTTTTTTCCTCTGTCAGTTGATTTGAGAGGGCAGTTTCATCAACCGGCCATCCTAAAGCATATGGCTGGTGCCCCTGGTTGTATTGACTAGACTTCCACTGACTACACTGGGAGCTTGCCAACCATCTCACATGTGGACACCCATGTTGAAGTGTCTTAATATGAAGCTGAATTATGCATTCCTCCTGTTTTTATTTAGGAAGCGCGTGGTTGGGAGGGAAAAATTACTTATTCTTCGTTTCCCTGCTGGGGAGCATTACACCACAAGCATTTCCATACATGCAGCAATAACATCTTAATTGTAACAACTTCTGCTTTACCTGTAGGAGTAAATACTGTGGCATTTACCTACAGGTTACCAGGGGTTAAAAAGAAGTCTGTTAGCAGTCCCTTAGCTGTTTTTTGTTTTGCTTTTGGGGTTGAGTCCTAGGGTTTTCTCACTATACAGTCTCAAGTTAGGCAAAATGTTTGCCTTGTTAGCTGATCATTGCAGTGACTGTGTAACCTCTTGGGGGTTATCTGCACCCCTTGAGAACAAGTTTGTCTGTTCCTGGATGGGTCTTCAGGGTTACATACAATTAACGATACTGCCTGCTTTTTAGTACTGCCTCTAACTTCCATATATTTGTTTCTTTTTGTACCTGCTCAGTTGCTAAGAAAGAGCTAGATGACCTGGAGCAGTGGAAGGAAAAGCACAGGCCAGGGCCAATTAAGTTGGTTCCACAGAGACTGGGTAAGACATGTGAATCAACTATTATGAATTGCAAAATGTTATTTTCCAGAATATGAGACATTTTTCACTTTTTATTACATGCTACTTATTAAAGAGATTCAGTGTCAATACGGGCCAACGTGAGCCTACTGCATGTGCTCTGTGCTTTTTGATGGTCATGGCAATGAAGATGTTTCTGAAACAAAACAACATAGATTGTCACTCAAGAAACCTGTCAAGACCAGTGTAGAAAATCTATACTAACATTTGGGAAAAAGAGGTGGATTATCAACCACGTTGTCTGTGGTTGATGTCTCTGAAGGGACGCACGCTTGGCATTAGCATGCAGACGGACAGCATATGTTGCAGACCCTCTACTTGCCCATAAGAAAACTCCTCTGTGTTAGGGGCCAGTACGTGTGCTTTCCTGATGGCTGGCTCCTGAAGAGGCAGAAATGATCCCTGAAGCTTCAGGCATTTGCAGGCTAAATGTGCATGAGGCTCTGTCTTAACAATTTTATAAAAATAACAGCAGAGATAGGTAAATGAAAAATAGGATAAAAAGCTACAGGAACTTAGGTCACGCTGAATTGAACTGATGTGTTTGATAAGACAGCCAACTTTTTTTCTGGACAAGTGAGAGGAACCATAGTGGATCTCTTCAATTGTAACCACTATAAAGCATTTAATTTAGTTCTGTTTGAGGGTTAGCTTAAAAATAATTAAAAAGAACAAAAAAAAAAAAACCCAACACACTCCCAGTCTTGTACAGAGAATAGGGCTGCAGGTTGTGCTGAAGAAGGAGAAAGGTTATTAGAAATGCTTTTCAAGTACCAGTCTTCAGACCTATCTTGTTTTAGTATCTTTCCTTAATGTCTTTGGCACAAAAAGTAGGAGAGAGCTGATGAAACTTGCTGACAAGACAAAACTTGAAAGCATCGTCTGTATAGAACATGATGAGGATACTGTGCAGCAAAAATGGGATGACCTTGAGGAACTGCACTAATAGAAATGGGACAAAATTCATTCTGACAAAGTGAATGGTTATAATGATGCCCGTATTAGTTTTGTAAAACTAGAGCTCCTCTTCCTTCTTTTGGCTGTTGTAGGAGAATTCAGGGTACACAGAGCAGGCTATTATCTGCTTGACCTGGAAACTAGGTTCTTTCTTTGCCATGCTATACAAGATAAGTTTGGGGTGGTTTACTATGTATAAAAATAGATACCAGGTGGGAGATGGAGGAATCTGAACTGACTCCAACCCAGATTTGTTTCTGGGATCAAGGTGGTCCCACGTGTTTGTTTTGCCCTGCAGCCTGAGTCCCAGTTGTTTGCCGTGGTGAACCTACCTTTGCAAGTTGGTGTAAAGCCCTGTATTCCCACCATCATGTGGCCAGACATGCTCTTTGTGAGTTCATACCTACTAGCTGCTTCTTGCCTGTGAGCAGTTCCTAGAAGACATGCTTCTGTCCCAAGAGGACCACAAAGCTTTTTGCTGAAGAAAGTGAAATCTGAAAACAGAAAGTTGGTGTGCGGTGTCTATGCAGAATGTGCGCAGGCTGGCTGCGTGACTGGGGATGTGGTGGCAAACCCACGGTGACTAAGAGTGTGGGGAGTCTTAACTTCTGGTCCCACTGCATTTAAAAACTTTCTTGGGAGAGAAGCAAATAAAGCAGGGAAAAAAAAAAGGGCAAGAAAAAGCTGAAAGGATTCAAGGAGGTTATATGAGCTCTTCAGTCACTGTCTAGCTGCCACTTCGAAAGACCCCTGGAGACTGAGACACACGCGCTATGCTCAGTGTCTCTGAAAGAGGTAAGGTGCAAAGATTATTAGATCTTATCATTCCCACAGGAACAAATTTGGAACAGGAGAGAGCTCAAGGAAAGAGAAAAAAGATATAAGTGGCATCCCTAATTTCACAACTGTAGGTACTCACTGAGGTAAAAAAGTATCCTGTGTTATTTTCTCAGAGTGATTTTAAGACACTACACATCTAGTCCAAATCACCAGAGAATTCTTAAAGTTTAAGCTTCTTAACACTTATGCTTTCCATAGGGAAATAAGTATTCTGGATTTCAATTCTGTAATATTTGACTGGCAAACTTTCAGGTGTGAGGGATGAGAGCAATGAAGGGTGCAAGTTCCACCCGCCTTTGTAAGCAATGGGTGGAGCAGCAAATCATGCCTGATAAATGCAATGGCCTCTTTTGTGATCATATTATATAAAGCCAGTCACGACATACTCTGAATTCAGTGAAACATTTGACACATTACAGCCAAACCAACTTGGATGAATTAAACCTGGCTGAAAGGCTATAGGCAATGGCTGATAATGATCCGTAAAATACTTGTTTAGAACTGATGTCCAGCAGTACGTGCAGAAATGTACAGTGAACACAAGAGTGTTAAATGTTGCCAATAAAAGGCTAGAAAGAAAGAAAGATCAAGCATCCAAAAGGTTTCAAAACTTGTTAAGTAGCAATTTTATTTCCTAGACCTGGGGAGGAGACACTCTACAATGCCAGCTGTGTGTTTACTGCTACTGTAAGCTTGTTGCTTGTATACTGGATGGCCAGTCTTTCTTGCAGGCTTAATCTTACTAGTAGTTATCTGTATTCATAGGAGTGTTTCCACACTTAAGGAATTGATCTCCCATTCACTGAACCTCACAAAAGCACCTAAAGATTGGTTACCTTCCATTAGTAAGTGGAGAAAGCTACTTTCAGTGAAGGCTGATCCCTCCTGAAAGATCTAGTATAGGTGTCTTACAGGTAGCACAGATTAGTCCAGCTGTTTCTGTAGAATTAACAGTCAGATAGTGGGAGACTTCTCAGAAAATCAGTAGGTGAAAATACAGCCCTCATTCTCAAAATGGGGCGGGGGCGGCTGTTGTTTTTTCTATTGGTTTTTTTGCAACACTGAGGGAATGCGTTACTGGCTTTCCCAAAGCAAGAAAATAATACTTTGGAAAATAGTAGAGCAGAATAATAGAACCAAATCCACTCCCTCCATCCCTTAAGACCTATTATCACTTTCTCTGTGTGGTTGGATTTTTTTGTTTTGTTTTGTTTGTGGGTTTGGTTTTGGGTTTTGGTTTTGTGTTTTGTTTTTTTTTTTTTAATTGAAGGCTGAACATTATGGCTAGAGGTATAGATGATCTCAAAAGGGAGCCTGTGCCTTTGGAAAGGGCACCTTCTGCTACCTGGATGTGAATATGAGGTCTGTGGGAAAAGGCTTTGATTTCTATTTCAGGAAGGGGATTCTTCCTTCAGCCCCAAGACATTACTTAGAAGATATTCAAATGATAGCATCCCATTAGAGCTGGCAGAGACTCCAAGCTCCTCAGTTTGATAAAACAGAAACTTTTTGGCAATAAAATTTCTGTCTCTGTATGTGTGTGTGACAAACTGAGCAAAGGTGGGGAGAGCTGGATCTGAAAATGAAGACTCATCTGCAAAGCGTGACTGGTTTGCTGAAAATGGAATAGTTCCTCAGTGAACTGATCATATACTGTGGGACATATTTGCTGGTAGAGTGGGTGATACAGTGGATGCTCTGTAAATAAAAAGCTAGTGCTTTTGACGGATGGATAAAATGATCAAAAAGGTCTCCTGTCTGTTCTCTTTAATGTCAGACAGCTACTGTAATTATGAAAAATTTCCTGTATATGCATACATCCAATCTGTTATATTGCTCTGTTCTGAAATGACTGGCATTTGAACTTAAAATGCTGATGCAAAATGCAATTTATACTTTTTTTTTTTTTAAGGTGGAAAGGAATCAGAGGCTCAAGCAAGGCAAAACCAGCAAATGATGCTCATGCAATCTAAATACCAGCAAAAGGTCAGGAAGAATAAATTTGTTTGTTTATTTTAAGAACTCAGAATAAAGCTTTTCCTGAAGTGTTTCATTTGGCTGTAAAATCAACGCACAGCTGCTTGACAAAAGAAAGTCAAGAAACCTGAAGGACACAGCAGAAAACTAAAAACAAATGTTCTGCACCAAAGAAAAAGAGAAATCTGGCTATAAATATGTAGCAACCTGTATCACAGATCATATCTAAAATGATAACCAGTACGGTGGTAAAGCCACTTATATGCCTCACTGTATCTTCCGGCACGCTGCCCACACTTCGGCTAACTGATCAATGTATCACCCCATCCAGTGCTTATATAGAAATGTTGTTCCTGTTATAAAAGGTATAAATGCTTGTAAGTTATCAATCAGCTGTGTGATTCTTGCATGGATGCCCATTTATCAGTCCTAGATTTCTCAGTCTTTGTAAAGCCAATATTGGAGTAGCTGGTGCGCAGCCTGCTTTATTCAGTGCCTCATTTTAAGAAAAAATTCTGGAAACTTTCCTCAAACACACTTTAGGTTTGAAAGATGTGCAGTACAGGAGGCAAGTCGAGTTACCTTATGTGTTCTTTGTATACATACATAATGTAAAATAATTTTCTATGTTTATGTCATACAGCACAAGAGAGAAGAATATGTAAAAGCAAAAAAGGCAGCTGAAGAAGCTGAAATCCTGAAAAAGAAAGCAATTCAGAGAGAAAAGGTAAACACGGTTACTGCAGAGTTGGAGCCATATAACAAAGTTCATGTCTTGATGCTTGATTTTGCTGAACTACATGGAACAGGCTAATTAAACTAAATTGTGGCCCCGGGTTTCATCAAGAAGTTAGGAAATCCAGTCCTCCTTTCTTTGTAGCTGACTGAAGGATGCCTGACCTGGTGTTCTTTGGGGCTTGAGCATCCCTTTGGCTCTTCAGAAACTCCAGCCTTTCAGTTGCATCCATCCTGAAGAGTTAGCAGAAAGGGAGAACACTAGCATCAGGATTGATGTTGTGTATACAGGTTATATAGTTCACTTTGGCATGAGCTTTCTCTGTAAGATTGGACTGTGGCAAGTGGCACAAAGACCTTATAGAAATCCATAATTGCTTGCTGTACACGTGGGAAGAATACAAGAAAATCCAGCCTGTCATGGTGGAAAAGGCATCCAAATCATGAAAAGGTCAGTGTAGTCTATCTGCATTGTGCTGAGTGCACCCTGAAATTCAGATGCCCCTCCAGCCCCTCTGGGGCTTCCACACCCAGGTGTATTGCTGATACATGAGATCACTTTTCCTTCTAATATTTGCTATATATTGACACCAATGGTAGCTCACTTTCAAATCTTCGGTTTTATGTTGAGTTTGTTTTTTCTAGTTATTCTCACAAAGCATCTTCTCGTCCTGTGTGCTGCATAAACCTTTGTAAAAGTTCATTCATGTCTCCCTGGTGGAAACCAAGTAGCGCTCGCTTGAGAATGTAACGTTTTTGGAAAGAGCATGATACTGATGCGCACAGTAGTAATGAGAGAAAGGGAGATTTCAGGTTTGCAACTTTTGTCTCCACAACAGTAAAAATTATCTTCTGTGCAGAAGCTGAATGCTGAGAGTTAATTAAAAGATCATGACTACTGGATGGCGTACGAGGGCATGCATAAACAAAAATAGCCTTAATTGCCTCTAGGTAAGGGTTAGTCTGTTCCCAGCCTTTCAGTGATTAGCATTACTCTTTGGGGATAAGCACATACACAATAGCTCACAGGAGCAATAAATGTTATCATGTGAAAATGTCATTAACAGTTACCAGCTCATGTATACCTCCAGAAGCAGCGATGATAGCAATGGTAGAAAGGGGATTAATTATATTTTATTCACCTATTAAATATATGTTGTTTGCCCATAGGCATTGGACAAGAAAAATGTTGCAAGACTGCTATAATTTATAGTTACACCTAGAAAATATATTGATGTATCAGTTTTGTTTTCATGCTCTTTAATTTCCTTACCTTCACTCCCACAGATTATAAAATCTTTATAGATGTTGTAGGTAGTAAAACTGTAACTATCAGTTTCTTCTAAAGGAGAATGCAACATCATGGCAAACATCTTTGCCAAACAGACTGTTTAATTTGAATAAATAAACATATACCCACAAAGCAAACAAACAAAACAGAGGAGCGTGAAAGGGAACTCTTAACTTGAATTTGTTTATTAGGGTTGTCTTCCACAATAGCGATTGAGCTGATGGAGATTTCTGCTTGAAAGATGTTTGTATATTAAAAATGCAACTCTGTGTGTAAGAAAAGCATGCTGGAAAGCCACTAAAAGGTGGCGATTTGGCTATCTCACCCTGCCTGCAAATGAAAAGCTCCTGAGAGCTGAGGGTGACAGGAAAGGGATACTAAAGAGCTGGTACTGTATGACCAACATTGGGCCCTGGTTACCACAGGAGAGGAACTTTTATTTTTAAGTGGTAAATTCTTAGACAACTGTACCTGCAGGGCATCAGCTGAGAGCATGTCTTTCTGCAAATTCACAAGCCTTCTTTTCTTGCTGGCCAGTCCTTCTTTTGCTCAAGGTTATTATTCAGTTCAGTAAAACCCAAATTGTTTGACAGTCTGAAGGGAGATAGTGGCTAGCCAACTTTATCAGAAAGGGCCCTGAAACTTTCACAGCTGGAGAGCTACTTTGCCAACAAATGTGAATAGTGAAACCCTACAGACTAATGCACGATGACTAGAACAAGGTGCTGGTACTCAGCTCAGTTCTTCCTTGCTTGTAAGGATGACGTACTGTAAGCCAGTGCTGCTTATGAACATAGGATCTGTTTATGTTATTGCTTTAATGCTGGTTTTGCAGAGAAAAGCAGTATCCACTCTCCCGTTATCTTTGTCACCAAGAGAAAACTGGGTGTCTGCCAAAGCAGTACCCAAATGTGGAGGGTCTGCCTTACCATCTGTACAAGTCCACCTGCCTGTCTCTGTCATTCTGTAATTAACCACGAGGTTAGGTGCTGGAATACCAACGCTTTTGGCATCTACCTTGTCTGTCTCCACTCCCAGAGAGAACAAAGATGGATCCTTCCCCCTCATTCTGTGTTCCACAAGACCAGTTTGTGTGAACTGGTACTCGAGTCTCCATGTGTAGCAGTGAATGGGATTTGGGATCCTGTGTGCTCCATGTCTGGCAGCTGGTCCTGGGACTGCTTTGATTTGTTCACGGGATAACCCTGGGCTGCATTAATTTGGATTTTCTTCTAAGCTAGTGATCTCTGAGTGCTCACTGAAATAATTTTGGAGAGACTTTGTAACGTTAGCAGGGGAGTCCCTATTTCTGTATTTGTCCCTAGTGCTGAGATGCATGTCTGATCTGCAAAAAGTGTGTGACTACATGGGAAGTAGCATTATTATTATTATTATTGTTAGTTGCCCATTAGTAGCAGGCATCTGCAGTTGGGTATCCTTTGTTCAGCCCTTCACATCACAGATTTTGGCCAGACCGTACCATAACTTCTTTCTTGTCTTTTGGGTGAAAGGACTGTCAAAGTTCCCAAGAAAATAAACAAATGGCTGATATTTGGCTTCTTGGTTTTTACGCTTTCTGCATTTGTGCTGGACACAAAATAACATAACTTCAGTGCACTGGGTATTTCTGTTTCCTGTCATTCAATCTCTGTTCCTGTTACCCTGCCTTTAGCCTTCCCTTGTATATTCTAAATCTTGACTAAATATTAAAAGATTCAAAAGATTTGAAGTAAAAATGCTCAGTGTAATTCTACTGCGTGCAACTTCCTTTTGCTCTTACTTGACATAGCAACACTCCTGCCATCTTTAGAAACTGTCCTATTTAGAATAAGCTGTAATTTCATTTTATTCTTTGTCAAATCATGTGCTCTTTAATTTGACTGTGTTAATCAGCATGAATGGCCTTTTTCGGAAATTTGTTAAAACCAGGCACTTTACAGACCTTCTGCTAATGCTTTTCAACATGTTTACCTTCAATATCACAGCTGTTCTACTCTTGGCTTTGTTTTTGAAGGCCGTGCCAAATGTGGAGTGCTTTGGCAATGTCTATCGATAGATTGTCATTGGTTAGAGAATGTCCCGGTCCTGTTGCCTGTCATTTGTATGCGTCCTAAGCAGGGGTCCCAGGGTAAACCTCCAGAGTAGAAAATAGTCACACCAGCCACAAGTAAATAATTTCAATATGCTGGAGTTTTCTTTAGGCACCATTCTGGTCATAGAATAGCTGTAGGATATTTCCTTCTTTTTTATGTAGTGGGAGACAGGGGTCATACTGAAGGATTGTATTTATCAAAGTTAATATCACTGTGTTGTTCTAGCTAGGAGCTAGACCACAGCAACTCCAGTGAGCTTTGGATTTGAACTTTCAGGAGCCTTGAAATATGATGGCGGATCCCATGTCAAATGCTTTTTCAGAGATGAAGGCGTCAGCTTGCAGTGTTGAGCAGTGGTGGAGAAAAGCCTGGGAGCTATTACTGGTGTCTTGAGGGTATCAACATCACCTTCAATAATAGATGCCATCAGATTTCCTTTCTTCCTCTTTCCTTTCTTTCCCTGTAAATTGTTAAGTTGCACAGATGGGTGGGAGTCTTTTGCCTAAAAAATCATCTATCTCTGGGTGGAGGGTTTAGGAGCAAACAAGATATCCCTTGAACACTAAAAATTTACTTATACTGTGGGGTGATACTCCTTACTTTAGTTTGATTTTTTTTTTTTTTTTTTTTTAAAATTATCAGTACTTATATATTCTACCACTGTCTCAGCATGTCAAATGACTGAGCAACGGGACATCTTATTCAGAGATTCGTCTTCCTCCTTTTGTTTATTTTCCCATTGCCTTTTTCCAAATAACAACTTCTAAGTCATTTGCCTTCCAACAGTTTGTATTGTTACACAACATAGTGGCTCTTTTCCTATCTGCACACATCTGACAGGATTTTTTTTCTTAATCCAATACATGCCGAGGAGGAATTTGCACTTGTTTTGCAAATCTTTTCCAGACAGTCATTCTTTATCCAATTAAAAAAATACCCACCCTGAAATCACTGAAGGCAAAGTAATTGAGTAACTGCCAGTAGAACTGTAATTTTTCTGAAATGTTATTGATTGCAGGACAGGAAGAAAATGATGGGGGTGGGGGTTACAGCCCTGTTTCTTAACACCACTTTCCCCGTTACGCGCACACACACCCTGTTCTACCTGGCCTTGCACAATACCCCCACCCACGTACAGTGTCCTCTCCCTGATTTGGGGCTCTGACCAAATGGGCCATTCCCACCAACAGCCCCCTTCTCATCTCTGCAAGGTATTGTCTGAAATTTCCAGGGCACTTTGTTTAACACAATGTCTGGTTGCTGGGTTACCAAATGATTACTTTTTTTCATTTTGAGGGTAGGCGATGAGCAGAGTGACAGTCCGAGGTTGCAGTTTGCTCAACATGCTAGTCATTGTGAACCTTGGGTGGGAGCTCTTGTTGGAGCATCCCCCCACCAACTGCAGTGTGGGAGCTTGTGCTCAAAATAGAGCAGGGCTGAAATGCTGTGTTGGCACTTCTGATTTGTGCTTTTCATACACTGAACTGCCTTTTGACTGCTCTTCCCACTGGACCTACATGCAGCCTGTGTGTCAATAAAAATATTTGGCTGGCCTCCTTTTGACTGGAATTTAGCTTGAGCTACATATTGCTGTTGCAGCAAGTTCTCCAGTTTCTACTTTATTTTAACATTTTATTCTACTTGAATTTGGGGAGTGCGGCAGCTTAGACAACCCTTCCACTGGAAATTATGTGCAATTTTATATTAAAGGACTTAATCACTTGTGTGGTATCCAGATTTCCAGAGGAGTTTTGTGTGTCAAGGATTTGGTTGACTCTTGCACTGGGCATGGTATCTGAGGCCGAATAACACTGGTTAAGTACAAATGTCTCCCACTTTCATCCGTCTTAGCATGTATTTAACTGGCCAGTACCTAATGCTCCTGAAGGCCGCAAATCTATGTGCAGAGCTACATGTACTCATATCACTGCGCTTTCAGCGCTACAAGACTATCATCTACTTCAGTGTGGTGGTTCGCGTCCTCTACCTTCTTACTAGGACCAAGGTTGCATCAGTTATACCGAGAGATGGCCCCAACAGTGCTGTGGCATGAGAACTGTGATGGCTCACGAGGTCCTTTGTGGGGATAGATGGGTCTGCCTGAGGCACAGTGCGGTTTTCTATTTCAGACTCGTCTCTTGACTAGGAGGTGTTTGGTCATGTCTGAATACTTTTAAATTTGAGATTGGGTCACTTCTGTATCCAACTGCTGCTATAGTTGGTTTAAAAACCAGAATATTGAAACACTTGAATTGAAATAATCTGTGTTTGTTTCTGGCTTGCTGGAAATCTCAAGTATGTTTTCCTGTTTTTAATGCTGTAGGCAGAGAGACTTGAAGTTAAAAAAAGGCAACAAGAAATGCAAAGAAGAGAGATGTTCCTTGAAGATCAATATTAGTAAGTAAAATTTGAAACTTATTATCTAAAATTCCTCATCTGCTTGTCCTTCTGGTTTGGGATTGTTTTTTTTTCTTATTTGTTTGCTTTTATCTGGTTTGGGGCTCAGGAAGGGTTTGGCTTCTGTTGCTGTTTTTTCACTTTTTGACTTGAAACTTTTGACTTAAGGGCAAGAGGCAGTGGGCACAAACTGAAACATAGGATGTTCCTCCTGAACGCCGGGAAACACTTTTTTCTGTGAGGGTGACTGAGTATGGGCAGAGGTTGCCCAGGGAGGTTGTGGAGTCTCCATCCTTGGAGATATTCAAAAGTTCTGGGCAACTGGCTCTAGGTGGCCCTGCTTGAGCAGGGGGGTGGACAAAATGATCTTCAGAGGTCCCTTCCAACCTCAACCACTCTGTGATTCTGTGAAATATTCCAAGCCTCCTCCATACCTTATTCCGGGAGAAATTTGGTTCAGTAGATTTCTCTTAGCTTCTCAAAACATACACTTTGAAATGAAAACTGTGAATTATAGAATGACTTTGTGCTTTCTTTCTCTAACTGAATCAATATGTGATCATTCAGTCCAAGACTAATTGTCAAAACAGGATCTAAATTACATCTCCACGCATTTATTTTAGTGACTAGTAAAGAAATCTAACCCACATGGAAATAATGAGGACTTCCTATGTTTAGCATAGTCCTACAGCTTAAATTTAGAGATCTGCTGTGAAGACCTGTTTCCCAAGAATACCTCCTTAATGTCAGATTTAGATATGGCTTAACTCCTGACATAATTAATTCCATTGGCAGTGAAGTTCCTGCCTTGCCAGTTCACTCTACCCTATTTATTGATTTTTAACTGATCCAAACCGTTTCTATCACATAATTAACACACAATGCTGTCTAGTCACCTTTACCTTTTTTATCTTTGGCTCCTGAAATTACTCACCTGTGTTCTTAGCATGATTGATTGCTCTTCCCTCCTCTGTGACCTTTAAAGGAGTCACTTTTGTCCCATGCTAGTAGCTCCAGTTCCTTCATCATTTGCCCAGACTCTGTTCTCTCATCTATAGACATTTTAGTGCTTTCTCACTGATCTCAGCCTTCCTTTCTTTTTCCTTTTATTTCTTCCCATTTGGCTTTAGGTACAGCTCTTTCCTTAAATACATTGCCAACGTTTGTCTCTAGATATTGGTATTTTGTCCGCTGTTTGTCCTCTGTTTGTCCCGGTGTGGATTTCCCACACACACACCTTGATTCCTCAGGATTTCTGAAGACCCTGCACAGCTTTAGATCTCTGCCTGTTTCTGACAGGCTAGACACCTTCATGCTCTTTGAGCCCCACTCAACAACAACCTCATCAGATCTTTTCAGTGCAGGGTCCTCAGTTATGGGACTTGCTTTTTCCTGAGGGGATTGTCAGGGTTCTTATCTTCCCATTTAATCTGATTTTTTGTCTTAAGGCTTATTCAGTTATGAACAGAGACATATCTCTTCCTTTCCGTCACCTTCCCTGTCTGTAGTTTGTTTTGCTTAGGGTGAAATGAATTCTGCTGATCAGTGCTTTTTCCATTAGAAGTAAGCTTGGTTCTGTCAAAAGCAGGCCCAAACCCTCTGAAACACCTTCAAGTGGGCAGTCGGTTGGTCTCCAGATGGTGCAGGAGCTCAGGCTGCCTGGGCACTGAGAAGGAGACTGGCTGGCAGCCGTTCTCTCCACTGATTTAGGAAAGCCTTGTGAGCGTTCAGCTGGTGTCATCTTAGGAAACCAAACTGACTGATGCAACTGAAGGTAAAGATGGACTGTCGAGCTCCATTGCTTGAGATTATGTTCAACTATCGGAAGATTATTTGTATGTACTATGTATTGAACATCCAGGAGGGCCCTATAGATACTGCACCTGGAGGAAGTGAGCTGAAAACCTACCTACACTGAATGCAGTTTTGGTTAAGCAAAAACCTCCCGTGCTGTACAGAGTGACACTAGTGCCTTCCCTGGTCTGAAGGAATCCTCTGGTGGGCAGAGGAAGAGGAGTCTTTACCACTGGATGTTGTTGAGGTTGCATTGCTAAGATACATTGGCATTATGGAGCACAACATCCAGGAGTAATGAAAAGATACTGTGCGACATCTCAGATCTTGTGAAGTGACTCCATTGAAGCACTGCCGGTTATTAGAGACGTGTTCGCATAAAAGTGCTTGGTATTTAAAGATGTGCTTTTGCCTACTATGCAAAAAATGAGTGACCCATTACTTCCGTCATCTAAAACCTTATGTCTAGAGGCGAAGAGAACAAATATGAGGTTGTGCCCCTTTCCTTGCTGTCTCTGCAGGAGTATTTTGATCTCCTTCCCTGCTTGCTGGGAGAGGGGGGAAAGGAAGGTCATGCGCTGCTTATAAAGCAATGACCTCTGCAAAGTCATGGCCTGTGGAGCCATTTCAAAAGATAAGCTGCCTTGTTAGTGTCCTCTGTAAGCATCTGTAGCTGCAACATCACGATTTTCCTGAGGAGATCAATGCCTACCAGCAGTCTCATTAGCTGGGAAACCTTTTAAAATTGATCACCACCTCTAGCTGTATCAGCCTCCACAGGGTACAGCCCAATCAGTACCTCTCCTGTATGAAGTGCCGCTTCTATTTGATAAGGAAAGGCACTTAAGATTCTCGTGTCATTAACATACTCTGATAATAAAGTATGATGCTGCCCAGAAGGTCATTGTTCTGATTAAATTCCTGTTTTTTCTCATTGAAAACAAGAACTTCTCACTGAAATCCCCTTTCAAAGGGTGTAACATGAAGTAAGTGAATGCCAAAAGGAAAAATTGTCTGCAACCTTGTCCACTGTCTGCAGAATACAGTTATTTCCTAGCTCTTAAAGCCTTCTTAGCTTCTTTGTGTACAACTGGCCCTTGAAAGTCAACTGTATCTGTTATCACAGTTGCTTGAGTATGTGTCTCTGTCTTGTGAGAATGAGGTCTAGACACACATGCAGAGTGCTGTGGAAAAGTCTGCAAGCCTCTCTCTTTTGGGATCAGCAACTCCTCTGACCCAGGTGGATTCAAGCTCTATTAGGTGACTAAAATGGACAAAACTCACAAGGTATCGCCTAAAGTAGCTATGTATAAAAAGCCTGAAGAGCACACAGGAGCAGACTTTGGGCTGGGGGAGTTGCTCCATGGCAGGATTGTTACGGTTTGTACTAACAGAGGAGATGGGGGATTTATTGGTGATAGCGTCACTGTGGTTCTGCCTCTGCAAATGCCAGATCGACAAAATAAGGAGTACGTGTGCACTTTTCTACCGGAAACTACTTACACATGAAGTGGAGTCCTTCCTTCTGAGTAGTGGTGTCTTGGATGTGTTTTACATTGATGGCCTGAGAGTGGTAGAGAGTGTTTTTCTGTCAGAGTGCATTAAAAGGTAGTGAATGCTTGTGTAGTCCATACTTTGCAATTGCTAATCCTTGTGAGGAAAGGACTGAGTGTCCATCTTTCCAAATGGGAACAAAGAAGAGGTTAGATGGCTGGCCCAGGACTTTTCAGGACATCCCTCTTTAGTTAGGACACAAAAATTGTCATTTAAACAGTAATGAGGGACGGCTACCTCATGACTTGCTTTTCTCTGTGGCTTGCTGTCCAGGCTCTATGAATCTGTGCCTGAACTCTAGCATGTCTCACTGTATGGTTTTAGCCCAGTGTCGTGGTTTAATCCCAGCCGGCAACTAAGCCCCACCCAGCCGCTCGCTCACTCCCCCCCCAGTGGGATGGGGGAGAGAATTGGAAGGGTAAAAGTGAGAAAACTCGTGGGTTGAGGTAAAGACAGTTTAATAGGGAAAGCAAAAGCCACACATGCGAGCAAAGCAAAAAAAAGGAATTCATTCACTGCTTCCCATCAGCAGGCAGGTGTTCAGCCATCTCCAGGAAAGCAGGGCTCCATCACACGTAACGGTTACTTGAGAAGACAAACACCAGAACTCTGAATATCCCCCCTTTCTCCTCCTTCCCCCAGCTTTATATGCTGAGCATGACGTCATATGGTATGGAATATCCCTTTGGCCAGTTGGGGTCAGCTGTCCCAGCTGTGTCCCCTCCCAGCTTCTTGTGCCCCCCCAGCCTGCTCGCTGGTGAGGGGGGGGGAGCAGCAGAAAAGGCCTTGACTCGGTGTCAGCACTGCTTAATGAAAACATCCCTGTATTATCAACACTGTTTTCAGCACAAATCCAAAACACAGCCCCATACAAGCTACTACGAAGAAAATTAACTCTATTGCAGCCAAAACCAGCACACCCAGCTCTCTAGTAAGGTGCTTTTATTTAATTTGGACTCAACTTCCCAGAAACTGTAGTGTTGGATGTTGTCCACTGCTTTTCTAATAGCCAGCTACCTATTTATGTAATGGGAAAAGCAGTCCAGAGCATAGGGTTACTTTTTAATAGTACACGATGGCTGTTGTATCACTTCCTCCTTCCCTTTGTTACATATTTGTGCCTCTGTTTTTGTGAAGGTTGTACTCCTGTAAAAATTCCTGGCACTGCTGCACTCGGGTACATGTGTGCACTCAATATATTCTGCTCAGAATTTGGAGCTGGAAACAGAATTTGCCAGAGTGCCTCTAAGTGCATATTCCAAACACAATGCAGGACGTTCACCAAACCAAGCTGATATACACTTGCCTGCCAAAGCAGTTTGCTTAAAGTCATAAAATGCTAGAAACTAAAACCTGAATCAAAACAGAATTTTTATTTATTTATCTATTTTTACGGGAGAAATACTAGTGTCTTTGCCAATTTTCAGTCCCCTATGATGTGTGGTCCAAACAGCAGGCTGGGAACAAATTTTCCCCACAGAAGTGCAAACGTAAACCTGACCAGACTTTTAATATAGGTTGCTACAGAGAAAGAAAGAGGGCTCGCACAAAAAGGGTTTGCAGCCTTGAGAATCTTTTGTTTGCTTCTTTTCACCACAATGGTCTTCATTTTGTTCATTTGCTCCTGATTATTTTAAGCGTTGTCAATTATT